TTCGGCAAATTGGCAGAAAAAGTCAGACCTGTGCTACAGAACAGGCAATTTTGTGCAGTTTACTTCCTGGGCCAGGTCAATTTAAATTTCCCTGTTTAATTTTTTTTTCCCCCGATGTGCAGTGCACAACTAATCTTCAATTGAATCTTCTTACAGCAATATAGCTAGTGGTGGCCCACAGTTCATTACCCTAATCTGATCTTTCAGCAAAATGTAAAGTTGACCTTTCTTAAATAAAAAAAAAAATACAGCAGCCTCTCAAATGCCTTTTGTCATGGCAAATTCTTGGGCCTTCTTGTAGACAGAGCTTTGCCACCTTCTAACTGTGTTGAAGCTAGCCTGTACCTCCTTGACTCGTGCTGTCCATCATTGCGATGGACCAGTAGAACCGTCAGAACTAGAGGTGAAAAATTTCCAGAAATTTTGAAGCCACGGGCAAAAAAAATGTTCCCTGTTTTTTGGGGGGTCACCCCCCCCCCCAAAAAAAAAAAATTGGAAAAATTGAAATAAAGAAAATTGTGTAGAGTGCTTTTACAAATTGAAAGTCATTTTGTTACACTACAAATTGCAGCTTTGCTCCCAGCAGACATTTCACTGTGGCGAAGTTTCCAAACTTTGGGGTTTTTTTTTTTTGTTTTGTTTTTTAACCTTTTGAGGAACATAAATGCATGTGCTAATATGTTGAATTGAGCAGAAATACAACCCCAAGTGTAGTATACAATAAATTGTGATTAGTAAGTGACAATAAAATAAGTAAATCAATTCAATCTGTGAATGTCCTAGTACCAAACAAATCCTCAGTGCAGCACATGCATCTTCTTCGCATATGTGATTAATTGGATCTATATTAGCCACCTTCATGCAATCGTGACTCCCATCACCTGAATAATACTGCGCTCACCTCCGAAATTAGGAGAAACGTTATTCGGTCTAGATGCACTTTTCCTTGGGAAAGTAGACAATATTTTCCTCCCCTGTCCATCGACACTCACTGTTCTTCTCTCTTCCGTTGTGCAAATGCTCAGGTACACATAGAACAGCTTCTCATAGTGTAGTACTTAAACCAAGCAATTTATTTTAAGTATTGCACTTGCATAAAATCTGAGGTCAAAGCTCCTTTTAAAACAAAAGTGTGTACAACCGCAATTCAGTACTTGTGTCCTACACCTGGCTTCTCCCACGCATTGCATCACACCCCTCGTGACTTCATCAGGTAAAATGATGATTTTCCCTGATGAAGTCATGAGGGGCATGACTTATCATTGTACACACTTTTGTCCTAAAAGAGCTTAGACCTCAGATTTTATGTAACTGCAATACTTTTAATTGATTGACTTAATAACGTATGTTCTTGGGTCTAATTTCAGAGGTGAGCGCAGTATTCAGGTGATGGGAGTCACATTTGCACGAAGGTGGTTAATATAGATCCAATTAACCGCTTCCCTGCCATATAGCAGATATACTGCTACACGGCGGTATGGGTGCACAAAATCACATGTGTGTGTATATATACGTGATTTTGCTTTTCCATGTTGGAGGCTGTGCTGTGCTTTTCCATGTCCCGGCCGGTGATTACCGACAATCACCGACAGGGAGGAAGACTGTTTTGTATAAAAACAGTCTTCCTCCCTGTCAGCTCGGGATGGCAGTGCACAGCACAGCCATCCCGATCAGTGTGCTTACAGTGAAGCACCCCCCCCCCCCCCCCCCCTAATAAAACAGTCCCTGCACATAGTTAACCCTTTGATCGCCCCTTACATTAACCCCTTCCTGCCCAATGCCAAAAGTACAGTGTCAGTGCTGTTTTTTTAGCACTGATCACTGTATTGGTGTCAGTGACACCAAGTTGTTTCCCCCACAATGTCAGAATATCTGCCGCATTCCTGATAAGTCGCTGATCGCCGTCATTACTAGTAGCAAAAACAAATCCCAGTATCTATACTGCCATTTGTAAACGCTATAACTTTCACTTAAACCAATTAATGTACCTGTATTGGGATTTTTTTTTTTTTTTTTTTTAGCAAAGACATGAAGCAGAATACATTTTAGCCTAAAATTGACAATTTGATTTAAAAATTTTTTTTTTTTTTTTTACTGGACATGTTTAATAGCAAATTGTTCAAAATATTTATTTTTCTCAAAATTGTCTTTTTTTGCTTATAGTGCAAAAAATTAAAAATGCACAGGCGATCCAATACCACCGAAAGAAAGCTCAATTCGTGGGAAACAAAGAACATAAATTTAATTTGGGTGCAGCGTTGCATGACCGTGCAATTGTCGGTTAAAGTAACGCAGAGCCGTATCGCAAAAAATGGCCTGGTCAGGAAAGGGGGTAAATCCTCAGGAGGGCAAAGTGGTTAATCACGTATGGGAAGGGGAAGATGTATGTGCTGCACTAAGGAGGATTTGTTTGAGACTTTCACAGACTGAATTGAATTACTTGTCCCTTATTGATCAGTTTGTTGTATTATATTACACTTGGGGTTGTATTTGTTTAATTTAATATTAGCACATGCGTTTGTTACATGCATTTATGATTATATAGTTTAGATGTGAAGGAAGAGCCACATATATCGTTTTAATTTGTGTAACTGATGTGACCACAAGCTGTAGATATGACAACAATCATTCTTTGAGCATTAAACAATAGGATAAATATTGAGACTTGCCTCCTTAATGTGAAACATGTGCTGGCTTTTTTGCCCAGATGCTCAATTCTGGGTCAAACTTGAGATAAGCTGTGTATAGGAGGTCAGCAGGGCAGGGGACACAGGAAGCAAACATTATAGTGGTGGCCGGAGGGAATAGTACAGGGCAGTCAGGAGGGAACAATATGGGGGGCAGCAGTAGAGCGCAATACAGGAGGGCACAATACCAGGGTCTGTAGAGGTTTTCCTTCATGCAGAGTAGCTCGTTAAAATTTATGGATTGTATCTGGCATCCCAACCTATGCAATTTTTTTGTATTTGAAGCGAAAATAAAATAACCGATTCGTTTTAGTGACTTGACCCTATAGGCAACCTGTATTTAGGTTGGCAAAGTGTTTTTTAAAGTCTTTGATGGTTTTTATATTTCGAAATCTGCAATAAGTGGCTTTGTTTTATATGTATTTGCATTTTTTTTTAAATGCATGCTTGGAACTAGGCTTGCCAGCTACAGCAAACATGATAACTTTACTTTAACAGTGTGCTTATTAAAAAAAGTTCAATTTTAATTCGACCAATGAGTCAGATTTTTTTTCCATACATATACAAATATTGAAAGGTCTTTTACGGCCCCTTCAGACCAATGTGTTTTGGGAATGCTCATTAATGCAAATTGTGCAGTGCAATAATCTTCATTGAGGAAGGCACACAAACGCATAATTACAGTAGCTGGCAATGCACATTACCTTTTTGGTATAGTTCACAGTAAAAATGAGGGTAATCTGTGTGGTGGCAGGGTTTTTTTTTTTTTTTTTTTTTTTTAAAGGCCGTTTGAGGTACATGTTAATTCCTGTTAATACATGTAGTAACATACCTTAGTAGTCTTAAGGGGGTCCTTTAGAAGTTATACATTTTAAAATTCCACCACCAAACACGTACAATTCATGAGGAAAATTGCATGGATTTTATTTTTACTTGACGTGGCTGTTTTTTGTGGTGCTGTCTTCCATTGCTTATTCCGTATCATAGTCTATATTTCCTTGTGCTGATTATCTTCATTCTGTTGGAGAAACCTCTTGACTACAAGGTAGAAACTAGGATGTTTTGTGTAATTTGAGAGAAGAATCAAATGAAGTGGACTGGCTCAGTAAACTTTTAGGCACTTTCCTCAATGTCACTGCCACTGGTTGTATACTCAATCAAGGGCACTGGAAACCTGACATGGGACCCCCCCTGTTTAGCATCCTTTTCTCTACCCTGCTACTCCATTGCAAGTATCAGCATGACCTATATGGCTGTTGCGTGCAATCCGGTGAAGTACAAAGTCGAGCTCAGCAAAGTAATAGTGTTCACAGATATTTCATTGTTCATAGGATGTACATTTATATTAAAGATGTGCCAAAATAGAAGTTCACCTAAAATATTGCAGCATTATATGGTATGAGTTGCTGTGTTTGTGTGTAACAGAAAATGTTACAGTTGACAAACTTGAAGATAAAGTGTGCCTCAAGCATGAGAGGCACAATACAGTATTTGCCTTTTTTATTCCCCAAACTTGACAGTTCAAAATGGCTGTTTTTGATTTAGTCAAGCTAATCCCTTCCCCAGAATTTATATTTTGACTAAAATGTTTGAGGGTGTAAACATTTTTTTCAATGCAAGCATGGCTGTTGGCGCTTACACTGTAAGAATATGCATTTAATGATGAAAGGTAGGTGGCAGTTATGAAATTTTTTTTATTGGAAATTCTCATTTTAATTGTACTCTGTAATATGCAGATTGTATCCTTAGCTTACTACACTAATGTAATTGTCTGGTGGAGACTTATGTGATTTGTAATCCACTTTAAGGATGTAAATTGTCTAGATGAGATTTCTTTTTATTTTTGTATAGCTTAATCTCTGCAAGAAAATCTTGTAGACTTGATTTAGATGTTATAATTCTACAATAAAATAATTTGGCAAACCAAATCTGAGATCTTTGCATTTTATTCAAAAACAAACACATTAAGGTAATGTGTAAAATCTAGGCATGTTTTCTTGTGCTTTTTGGGTACTCAAATATTTAGGTGTGGGTTGCCTGAATTCTAAATTCTTTAGAAGTAGAATGTTACAGAACACAAGTTCAACCTTCCAAATATTTGAAGCATTTTATTGTGGTAAAGTGAAGAATGCATTCAATTCTAATATACACACTCTTGAATTTATACAAAACAAAATGTTTGATGTGATTTCAAAATATACCTTGTGTTTTTTGAAACATTACTGCCATTGTGCTTGCTAAAATATTGGTGAAGCTATACACTGTTGGCTGAATTTGAATAGCACTTACAAAACAAGTACTTCTAATTCCTAGAGATCATAAAGAAGCAGGGTGAAGAAGGTGTGCCAGACTTAGTCCATGTGATGCGTACATTAGCCACTGAGACCATCCCTAACCTCCCACCTGGGGGTGAATTGGCAAGCAAGTGAGTTAATCTGAGTGTTTTGTGACCCCTTTTAATGTAATAGTAATTATGCCACATAAAAAATTAACTCTCCTGAATATTTGTGAATTTCCAAAAGTTACTATCCATGTTCCATGACATTGATAGTGCTGGGCTGATTTTTTTTTTTTTGTCAACTCATTTCTGAGCCATTCCTTTCTCTTGTGGGTTCTCATTAGCCCTTTGACCAGGGTCTTTTATACTGTTCAAAATTATCCCAATTAGTGTTTCTCTTTACTGAGGAGGCTAACCGTTAATGACTGTAATACTCCTGCCCCTCCAAGCTAAAATGTGAAATTTGTTTTTTTTTATGTGGCATTTGTGTGTAGCATGTGTTGTGCGTAGTGGTTTGCCTCTGTTCTTTAAGCTCATTTTTTAAATTGAGGTTTCTCTAGCTAATTATTCTTGCATTTTGATGCCCTTATGTTTTTGTAACCTTCTTGCAATTCTATTTAACACTACACTACACTACACCTGCCACCAATATGGTTGACTGTATTTTTCTGACCTTGTACTCTGCCTAGTTGCCTGTGAAAAGCACACTTTATTCATGATTTGTTTGCTTTGTCCGATTGCGGTTGGGTTAATTTTGTTTTTAGTAGCTGATAGAGGCTGAATGCCCTATGTACCAAAGTAATTTACTTTTAACATCCTAACATAATCAGGCTATAAATTAATTTAATTTCGGTATTTGTATGTTCGTGTGTGTGTATGTGTGTGTGTATGTATGTATGTATGTATGTATATATATATATATATATATATATATATATATATATATATATATATATTTTTTTTTTTTTTTTTTTAAATCATCTTGTGAATTGTTTAGACACTTGCATACAAAAGAGGTCAAAGCACAGACATTTATATAGGATAGTCACCAAGCAACATTGACGTGAATGAGACCCTTTAACAGTAACCTAGAAGTATTCATTTCTTGAGGAGAAGGGTGTTTGAGAGAAGTTCTCTTACAAATAGTGAGTGGTTTTAGAAATCAAAATTCATGTTAGTCTTCTACACCTTGGATTATCATAGATATACCCAGTCATTTGGCTTTTGTGACATTGCTATCTTAGTTTTTTCTTTAGGAATGCTTTAAATTGTAAGGAATTTCAAACTAGAAAGTCTCTGCATGTGCAAATGAGGAATTCATATGTGTGCACTTGTATATAAGGGCACCCTGTACAGGTGGATTGATTGCAGTAAGTCTGCTTTGCATCGGCATCCCTACATTATAAAACTTCAGATGCTTGTTAGTAATTGTTGGTGTTATTCAGTATATTTGCCAAATGATTTAGTTCATATAAGCTTGACGAGCTAAAATGTAGCTGCTTACATTTACAGGAATGATTTGAAATGTTTTCTGATTTAGGGAATAATAGAGGCTTTAAGTGCCACTTTTTCTTTGACCGTTATTTTTTGCATTAGTTGGTTACCATCCTTCTGTACAATTTTAACTGTCTAAGAAAAAAATCACCCCCACCCACATCAGAATTTGTTTATTTGAGCTATTGACTTGATTTCTGAGTTGATTGAGGCAGAGCGCAAACACCTAATTATTAGTTGTCCCCTAGTTCAGGGGTCTCCAATTTTTTTTAAAACAAAAGGCCAGATTACGGTTCTTCAGACTTGAGGGAGGGCCACAGTGTGGCCAGTGGGAGTAGAAAATACCCTTGCTTCAGTGGGAGTAAGCAAGGCTTCAGGTTTGATCTCAGGAGTAAGAAAAGTACATGGCGTATGTGGTCAGTAGGAGGAAGAATAGTGTCCCATTGGTGGGGAGGAATAATGCCAATTGTTTCAGTCAGAGGAATAGTGCTTCATTGTTGGTGTCCGTGGGAGGAATGGTGCCCCATTGTTGCTGTCCTTAGGACGAATAGTGCCCTATTGTTTTGTGTCAGTGGGAGGAGTAGTCCTGGAAAAGGTAAGCAAAGGTCTGCATTCGGGCCGCGGTTTGAAGACTGCTGCACCAGTTCATTGAGGATGGCCTTGTGGTTGTTCTGCTAAAGACTTTGTAGCATTTACTTTCAGCCCATTGTGCATGCACGGAAGGGGGGGGAGGGGGCAGATAGCAAGGCTGCTGCTTCATGCATAGTTGTGGTCCTTCTACACAGTTGGCTATACAGTGGTTCTAAAGGGAAAACTTTTTTTTTTTTTTTTTCTACCCTTTAATGCATTCCCTGCCTTAAGGTAAAACATGTTCCAGTATTTGTATCACCTCCTTACCCTCTAAATTACCTGAGCCCTCCATTGATCCAGTACTGTACCTCTCTCCCAGGACAGAGGCACTATCTGGAGCCATTGGCTCCTACTGCTTTCAAGGGCCAAGCCACGCTGTGTGCATTTATGGGCACACATGGGAAGGAGTGGGGCGCACATGCATGCCCGCCATAGGAAACGAAGAAGAGAAGCCAAGAGGGCTGGCAGGGAACCCCAGAGGAGGAAATTGGAGGTCACTGTGCAATACCATTGTACAAAGCAGAGGAGTCTAAACCTGTTTTGTTTTAAGTAAATAAAAAAAGCCTTTGCAACCTCTTTAACCGCTTCCCAGCCACCCTATAGCAGCACTATTGCTGCTGGGCTTGCGCAAAATCACGTGTATATATGTGACTTTGTATTTCCCGGTAGGGGGGCATGCGTGCGCGATCTCTCTCCTGTCAGCATCATCATGCTGCTTTGTATTGCTCTGCATAACAGAACAATACAAAGCAGCATGCTTGCACAGTAAATCTCATCTCACACAGGACAGTTTGTAAAGCAGCACACAGTTAACCCTTTAATTGTCCCATATGTTAACCCCTTCCTGCCCAGTGTCATTAGTACAGTGTCAGTGCTTTTCATTAGCACTGATCACTGTATTAGGGTTACTGGGGATGTCAGTGGCAGTAAGGGCTCGTTCACACTTGACTGTTTTACCAACTCTTGCCAAACGCCCCTATAGCTTTTGGCAAGTGTTGGTCCGGCGTTTGCGGATCATTTTTTAACGCTCCGCAAACGCCACATGCACGGTTCAGCGGTGGTTGCTAGGCCTTTGCTGAGCGTTAAAAACGCCCCACAAACACCTATAATGAAGTTTGGATGGTGTTACCACTCCGCAAACGCCCCGCAACTGCACCGCAAACGCCGGCCGGGCATTTGCGGAGCGGCACCATAGACTAGAATAAGAGGCTTCAACGCCTCCTGACTCGACTAGAGGCGTCCGTTTTGCCGTACCGCGACGCTACCGCTCCCGTTAGGACAGCGGTAAAAATACTTCCCAAACGCCTTTCTGCCGCTTGAAAACAAGGCTAGTGTGCACATAGCCTTAGTTCCCCTCTAGTGTCAGAATGCCCGCCGCAGTCCCCGCTATAAGTCGCTGATCGCTGCCATTACTAGTATAAAGAAAAAAGTAAAATTCCAGTATATACTGCCATTTGTAGATGCTATAACTTTCATGTAAACCAATTAATTTACACGTATTCGGATTTTTTTTTTTTTTTTTTTTAGCAAAGACATATAGCAGAATAAATTTTGACCTAAATTTATGACTAAATTTTTTTTTTTAAACATTTTTTACTGGATATGTTTTATAGCAAAAAGTCAAAAATAGTTTTTTGTGTTTTTTTTTTTTTTTAATTGACGGACTTTTTTGGTTTATATTACAAAAAATAAAAACCGCAGAGGCAATCAAATACCACCGAAAGGCAGCTCCATTTGTGGGAAAACAGACATAAATTTAGTTTGGGCATAGCATTGCATGACTGTGCAATTGTCAGTTAAATTAACGTAACGCTGTATCGCAATAAATGGCCTGGTCAGGAAGGGGGGGTAAATCCTCTGGAGGGCAAGTGATTAAAGTCGTAAGGTGATATTTTAGTTGTAGTCTGGAGGGCTTAATCACCCACAGCTTTGTTGTCTCTGGAGAATTTTTTGGCAAGGTCTGCCTTCCTTAGTTCCTTAGTCTACTTCCTTCCCTCTTGGCTTGTCTGGTGTTCTATCTTCTTTGATGTGATCCCACTTCTTTTTGGATCATCCATAGTATAACATTTAAAATTCTAAACCTAAATGTGGCAGTACCTTGCACACATAATGGCTGGTGGTGTGTAGGCCTAGAAACTTGAGCACAAAGATTTTGCCAAAAAATGTTTTTTATTGAGACTTACAGTGCTTTCTATGTACAAAATACTGCTGGGTTCATTGTATAAACAATTGTCCACACAGGATTGTTTACTGCTCGCCTGAAAAACCTCAGACCCTGTGAGATAACTATCAGTACGTTCTGTGATGTTTGTATAATTAGTACCCCATTCCTGAACTCTGCTACTCCTAGTGGGAAGCAGGAGACTTAGGTCAGTCTTAGTTGTACCTGACAGACCAATGTGACCACTATTTTAAAATATTTTGCTATATTTTTTTTTTTTTTTTCAATTTGATCTAGGCGGAGTGTGATTGAAGCTGTTTACAACAGGCTGAATCCATATAGAAATGATGACACTGTAAGTATTTCATCATCTGACTGTTTTCTAAAGCTATTGCTGGAAAAACAATTTTAAATTAGCTTCTCTTTAATTGTAATTTAGACTTTAGTTGGTAAATAATGTCGACCCAGGGGCTTAAATTCCTATTAAAAGAAACATGTTGAATAGAAATAAATGTTTGAAAGAAAAAAGGGGGTGCTGTTGCGCTTATGAAAAAACTAATTAACATATATGTGAAAGAATTTAACTATATATAAGATCCCTATATAGCAGCAGTCCTATATGTGAATTTTTAAACACACAAAATCTTATATATTTCAAAAATAAACCGCGCTAAGGTCACAAATAGACAAAATAAACTGTGCAATCTAAAGTGATAACACTGAGCAAAATACAATATTAATATTCAGTCCCAACATGTGACTAATTGGTGCAATGGTGCTGTATCTTTACCGGTGATACTCCATACTGAAATTACAAGTGTTTATTGGTTACTGCCAGCAACCACGGTTATAAGGGCGAAGGACTA